TCTTGCGACGCAAATATTTCAGGTGACCAACAGATGCTGACTGCCTTCAACGACGTCTTCCAAGTCAGGTGATTTAGGAGCGCCGACTGAAATAATGACGCTGGAGCGAGGCGGAATGTTGACTTGTTCCTCCAGCACATTCAAGGCATGGTTTTCTGACGGCGTGCGCGGCAGTAGTGCTTCTTCTGTGGATAACGTTATCGACTTTGTTCTTATGTTGATGACAGCACCATGGAGGCATAAGAAGTCCATACCAAGGATGACATCTTTCGAGCAACGCTGTAGGACTACGAAGTCTGTAGGATAAATACGGCCGTTAATGGTGACTCTCGCTGTGCAGATTCCTACAGGCGTTACGAGATGACCTCCGGCTGTGCGGATTTCAGGGCCTTCCCAACCTGTCCTAACTTTCTTTAACTTCGCGGCGAACGACCCACTGATGACAAAATAGTCGGCTCCAGTATCGACGAGAGCGATACCACAGTATCCCACTGTCGCCGTCGATAAGAACGTCGAGGTCGCTAGTCCGCCATCTCGCATTACAGTTAGGGCGTGGCGTCGAGTTACGGCTGCCTCGGCTTGTTCCGCTGCTTCCATGTTGCGTCGTCAGGCCACCTTCGGTAAGTGAGCTTTCGCCGTCAGGGCTTTGCCTGGTTGGCGTTGTGTTCGGAAAGCTCTGTCGCGGCGTAGTCGTCGTCCGAGGATCTTTGGTAGTTCGTCGCACAGCAACTGCACCTCGATCGGTTGCTGCCCTTAGTTTCCCGGATACGGGCTAGGAGACCGGCCCCGCGTTGGGCCAGAGTACTGCCGGGGGTGCGGTGACATGCGGCGGCTGGACGACGGCGAACGAGAAGGACTTCGTGGTGTCCATTGTGTTCCTGTCAGGTAGTCGGCGATGTCACGTGGCCGTTCTCCTGGCTGCGGACGCGATGCATTGACGGCGAAGCCACGCAGTCCCATCTGTCGGTACTGGCAACGGCGGTATGTGTGCCCGGCCTTGCCGCAGTGGTAACAGAGCGGGCGGTTGTCAGGTGCCCGCCAATCATCCGTTTTCCTCGGCGCTGTGCGCTGGCTCGCTGGCGAACGGTTGGACGTCGGTGGGGGTGGTGGCGTCTGGCGACAGAAGTGTGACGGGGCGGCGTTTTGGCATGGACGGGGAGGAGCGTTGTGGCGCACTGTAGCGGCGTAGCTCATAGTTTCTGGCTTAGGCAGCGGTGTTTTGGGAATTCGAAGCGATTGCCGAACTTCTTCTTGCACAATGTCGGCGATCAAATCCCCTTGAGGCTGCGCCGAAGGCAACAGCTTGCGCAGCTCTTCCCGCACGATCGTTCGGATCGTTTTACGCAGGTCTTCGGAGTCACTGGCTTGAGCAGCAGCACATTCTGTAGTCAGGCGACGATTATGCTGTCTGGTGCGCATGTCCAGAGTTTTTTCGATAGTGGTCGCCTCGGATACAAATTCTTACACGGTGTTCGGTGGATTCCTCATCAGTCCCGCGAAGAACTCCTGTTCGACCCCTCGCATGAGAAAATGAACTTTCTTCTTCTCAGGCATGTCTGGTTCAGCGTGACAGAATAGGCAGGTCATCTCCTCTATAAAAATTGCAACCTTTTCATTTGGTAGCTGAACCCGGGTCTCTAGTAGAGCAGCGGCCCTCTCTTTGCGAGCGACGCTCGCTAACGTGTGCAGGAATGCGCCGCAGAATACATCCCACGTTCGGAGCGTGAACTCCCGATTCTCGAGCCAGGTCCTTGTGGTGTCTTCCAGGTTCAAGTACACACAACGGAGCTTTTCTTCGTTGTCCCAGTGGTTGAGGGTGGCCACACGGTCATATGTTTCTAGCCAGGTTTCCGGGTCTTCAAACGATGACCCATGGTTCCCTGGGTTGATGAATGACGATCGCGGGCTGGGACACTCCGGTTGTCATTGTCGTTGCAGTCGAGGTCATGGCTTTGGTCTTCCGCGCCTTGTCTTGTAGAAGCCCGTACTCCGGTGGGAGACCTCGCTGTCGGCGGCTTGTTCGCTGTTCAGGGTTAGCATTTGTGTCTTCTTTGCCACTTGGGCTGGGGTCGCGGCTTGAAGGGGGCGTCCGGAACATCAAAGATGCAGCACCTCCACCAGATGTCACGGGGTCGTGACGTGGCCGAAGACAGGAGACTTTGTGTTAGAATTTAACTGTTTATTTGGGCGAACCTGTGCCCGGTAAACGGAAAGTCCGATTACAGTAGCAGTCTTGGACTGATAGCGGCGAACGAAGCGTCAGCCGTCGATCAACTACTGACAAGCAGCGAAGTGCGTCGGCATTTATACTCTTGCCATCGAATGTTCTAGCGTTATCGCTGGCGGTGGCGTAGGTTCCAGAATAATCTGTACAGTTCGCAGAGTGGGCGTGATCTTATCGAAATGATCTACCGAAGTCCGGAAGCTTCTCGAAAACTGCACGTGCGTTTTGCGCTGAGAATTGTGTAGTGTTTTGGGGGTGATAACAAAACTTGAGAAGTGGAACGTGGCAATATGTCGGTGCTCTACAAGTTATATTTTTCTGAAAATAGCATTACATTTAGCAAAATTTGGTATGCTGCAGTGCGTCCTGGAGTAATTTTGAAACTGGCAAGGACAATATTCCCGAGACATATAAAAATAGCTATTTTTGCGCAGTAATGAAAGAGTTCAGGTCGTATGCTTGCTGTCTTGCTCAGTCAATGAAGCAATGTCCTGTTTGTCTTATGTGTCGTTGACACCTTTCCACGTGTCGATATCTCATACACAACATCAGAATGGCATTCAGTGAACCTATTCTCATGACGAATGTTGCATGATCAGCTAGTCCTGTTGCTGTTTAGCACACACACTTTCAAAAGCTTGCAAGGGGCGGAAAACAACAAACTGATATCATATCTGGTCGCTATTTTCTTTAAATTGTGAGGTACCTTATGTATGTATATAATAACATGCAAAGGTGTTTGATCAGTCTGTTTTTCTTTAGGTCCTGTTTTCTTGAACTTAAATTTCTGCATGAGGGTTTTGGAAACAGGTATGCTGACGCTGTTGGGATATCCAGCATCTTTTAATCTTGTTTGTCAGACTGAACTCACCCTTGTGCTCACACGACTTATTCATTTATTCATTTGAAATTCGTTACAGGCCTCTTGGGCATTGTGTAAGGGGGCCTGAATACATATGGTGGCGATTCCTGTTTTCAGATGTGAAGCAGCGCTCTGACTCATGCATGTAGTGTCATACGTACGTACGTCCATACGAACGTGCTGCAGGTGTTGGAGTGGTGCCAAGTAGGCCACGCCGCTGCTGCGTGTTGATGCCATGCTCCCCCAGCACGATTCTCTCGCAGGTGCACGCTGGAGCCACTCTTTCTCTCACCCCCTGGCAGCGCCTGCAGCTGCGAGCTCCTCTACACGCTTGCAACAAACTTCTCTCTCACTTCACCCTCTCCACTGCCCGCATTGCTCGACCGCACGCCGAGTGGAAACACTTTTTTGCTCGTTTATCTACGGACACTCCCCAGAGTTTTGCTTTTAACCATTCTTTAAGCACCTACGTCAACGCCAGTTTCAGCCGGGTCATTGGCGTGTGCATCACTGCTGCTTCAGGGAGATGTTCCAATTTTTTATTAACTTCGAATGCCCACTGTCGTAAGGAAGGGCATTTTTAGCGCTCCTAGGCTGATAGCACCAGAAAGTATGTGCGTTGTCAGAAAACGAAAGGCATACATCTAAGTACTGTATGCAGTTGTCTGTAAGCTATTCAAATGTGAATTTGAATCCCCAGGAGTGCTCTTTGAAGGTGTTAAGCCCATCCTCAACCTTGTCAATTAAAACACATTTGCCCAGTTTTTGCAACAAGCACAAATTGTCAGAGTTCATGCTCAAATTGTCTTGAAAATGTAATTCTTATTATCAAAACATTTTCTCACAGCAGAAATAAGGCCATCACATGGAATAGAGTAATAATGTTCCTCACCGTTTATTAGAAATCCCATCACAGTGCAATGAAACCGTTCCTGTAGTTTCTGGACCAGCTCGGAGAAGCTTCTTATGAAAGAACAGATCTTCATATGTCAACTTTTTCAGATTGCCGTGAAGAAATCTTCCTACATGTGTCTGCCACAACGTTCTCTCCGAAACGATGACTTAATACACCATCACTTCTCTTTTCTGAGAGAGTATTCTTTTCTGAGTTAAGAATGTGATTTATGGTCGCACATGTGCTGTCGCGCATCAGCCCTGTTCTTGAACTCTGTAGAAATGTGGTCCTAGCACCTTCAATAAATTCAATTACAGTCAGCACTCTTTTCTGTCCATATTGTTTTCTCCTACCATTGTCACACTGTTAGTACAATACAACTACAATGAATCAACTCGCCTGAATTGAGCTCTTGTTGCATGGAGTTGTTGTTCTGCTACACGGCAGTTCTGATTGACTGCCGAGCGGTCCAGGTGCTTCTTGTTAAAACTGTACGATTGCAGATCTAAATTGTTATTGTCGTGTCACCGAAAATTCATAGATTCACTTGAAAGTATAGACATGTCATTAATTCTTGTTTAAAAGTTTGAATGAATTGTTTGCATGCGGTTAGAAGTACTATTTTGTGCCTTGTAAGTTGCTGTGCAGTAAAACAGTGGCGAGCTAGACATGGCAAGACAGCATGAGGACCATGAGCACATTGTTGTTGTCTAGAGCTTGTGAAGTTTGCACCTTTCAAGTGGCCATAATACTTAGTTGAATATTATGTAGCACTAAAACATGCTGCTATGAAAGCATACTGTTTTGATATGCATTTCTAATCACGAGTATAGCCCACTTTGAACGAGAAGGGCATGTTCATGCTGCGTCTGATTCTGTTGCTCAAAGGCTGTCGAATTTTGGATTGACCATTGACTTAATGGGCCCTGAAACGCCCCATGCGACCTGTGCCACGCCATCAAGTCGGGACACTACCGGTTATAAGGCACTTGGCCATCGCTTTCTTTTCTGGTTTTCAGCTTGGAACAGTTTGACGGAAGGAGCACACTCCACGGCGGACGATGTCATTGTGGTTGAACCTGAGGAGGTTATGTGCGAGACTGGTGCGCCTGATAATGAAAAGACCGAGGTGGCGACACAGCCTGCAGAAAAGGAACCATCAGATCAGCACTCTGGTCTGAAGAGAAAGCGCAGTGACGAGGTAGGCAGTGTGAATAACTTCATAGATGGCTTATGGGGTTCAATTTCCCGGGGCAACTGAGGCTATGGTTGATGCCTTAGTGGGGGACCTTGGGTAATTTCGACCATCTGGTGTTCTTCGAGTGACTACTGAACTAAAATATGAAGAAAAAATGACGAAAACTTTAAAATTTCACTACGAATTCTTACACAAACTGTGGTGCAAATTGCCTGATGCATGATTTTTCGGCTAGATTTGAAGATGCGCTAAATACAGACATTCTTGTACACTGTGTGAAAATTCTGATACGAATATTTTCTTGTTCATTTGCGCTGTATAACGAAGTCCCTGCTTCTTGTATTTAGTTGTCGTCTATGAATAGTCTGAGTGAATTGACATGGTATTTTGAATGTTATTACTTTTTCTTGAATATCATGTTCATTATGCCCCCTGTATTGACTCCTATAGTGAGGTTGACAGTATTGAAAATAAATAAGTAAGCAGAATTTTATATAATATGTGGGGATTTACATTCCAAAACCTCTATGATTATGAGAAATGATTATGATTATGATTATGAGAAATGCTGTGGTGGGGGACTCCGGAAATTCGGACCATCTAGTGTTCTTTAGCGTGCACTGACATCGCACAGGACACGGGCCTCAACCATTTCGTCTCCACTAAAATGCGACCACCGCTGCTGGGATCGAACCCACTATCTTCAGCTCAGCAGCAGAGCATTGTAGCCACTGATCCACTGTGGTGGATCAACAAGAAAAATTTAGTTAACGTGGTTTTTTAACAGGCCACTGTACTTTTGGAGTGTTGTCAGTGCGTGGGGTTGGGCGTTGATGGCTGTGATGTTGATTGTCCCCATGGCATATACAGGGTGCATCCTTGCCTGTCCTGCTCTTTCCCTTTCTCACATCTGCTTTACATCCCACTCTTCCTTTTTCTCAGAGGCACTGAGACGTGCCGCACTCTTCAGATGCTTTATGCCACCCAGGAGCATTGGTTGCTGCTCAAGTGGTTTGTACTGGTTCTGTGAACTGTGATGGGTGCGGAGCAAGTTGAGAGATGCGTGCGACACCTGGAAAGGCTAGCCTATTTCCATGGGCATTAATCTATTAAGGAGGGACGCTGCCTTTGAAAACCAAAAAATCGCGAAAAAGTCGATTTTTGGCAAACCACATATTCGGGCAGTATGTGTCATAAACTACCTTTTCTGTAAATATCAACGTCTAATTCGTCGCGAAACCATTTGAAATAAAGTTTAGAACATGCCGCGGCGGCCCTCGAGCGGCGCGCGAGCGCTCAAAATACCCCAACTTGGCGTGATCGCAGTTTCTTGACCGCTCGACGGAGCGCCGCCATTTTGGTGTTGTTTTGTTTGTGAATTCTTGCTCTTTCTTTTCCCGCCACCTGCGTCGCCGGCAGCAGCGCAGGAGAGGAGCAAGCCGCTCATGATTGGAGGGTTCGCGAGAGCTTTCAAGTTTCCCGCGGCTGAGGCGTGCAGCTGGGATTGGGCGAAGCGCGCGCTCCCCAAGGACGCGGGGGAGCCCGCGACTGCCATTGGCTGCTGAGCGCGATGACGTAGCGCTCTTGCGCATAATGCGGCCGATGCGGCCGCTCGTCTGCTGCTCCTTCGTCCGACGTCTTTGTGTTCCGCTCGCTTCCGTGTATCGTTGGAGCCGTTCGCATACTCTCCACGTTTCAACTGTCTTCGAAACGATTTTCAACCGTCTATACGAGACCGTTGTTGTGTTCGCTCACGATGCGGCCAACGAAAAAGAAGACGCTACAATCGTTCGGTGCAAGGAAGCGAGCTATGAAGCTTGTCCGCGCGGGGAGGCTCTCCGCTCGCGTGTGCGCCGACGGTGATCGCGCCGACGGTACCTGTGGGGCAGCTTCTGCTTCATCTACGCAAGAGAGTGGTCGCATCGACCCGCCTAGCAACGGGACTCCTGCTCCGCCGGTGCAAGAATTTGTCGTTACAAGTGCGCCTGGTGTCTCGTGCTCATCGACAGTGGCTTCCGCATCTTCTCTTTCATCGGCCTCGAGTGCGATCGCGTCGTCAACTGTGAATTTGTGAACAAGTTTCCTGACGTGCGAGGAGAAAGAGGCGGCGGATCAACAACGCGCTGCTGTGCAAAGAGAACTTGGCGCTATGCCAGGGACGGAGCGGAAATTTCAGGAAATGGAGCGCGATCATGAAGCTGCCACCGCTACAAGTGAAGGCGAAAAATTTTTCCTTGTGCGAATGGATGCCCTAGACGACCTGCTATCTCGGACCCCATGCCACCGGCGCATCGCGATTGGGATGAAGGTACGAAGAGGCACCCAACTTGGACTTGCTGCAAAGCTTGAGCTAGTATGCTTGCATTGTGGAGCAGTTTCAAGCTCATGGAGTTCATCTCGTCAGGATGACACAAAGACCTTTGATGTGAATGTAAGAGCCATTATGGCAACAAAACAAATAGGCAAGGGACAAACAGCTCTCAACAACTTTTGGGCAGCGATGAACGTGTCCCATCGTGGCCTCCATCACAAGACCTTTCAGAAGCACCTGAAGAAATTCAGGGAACCGCAGACACAATGCATAGAAAATTTCTATGCAGAATCTGCTTCTGCTGTAAAAGCCACTTACAAAAGAATGGATCAATATTTCACCAGGGATATAACAGTTTGTTATGATGGAACATGGCACAAGCGTGGGCACACATCCCATATTGGAGTCGGGGCAATTATCGAATACCATACGGGCCTTATCTTGGACTCCGTTGTTCTGTCTAATCAGTGCCTTGGTTGCCAAGTAGGGCCAAAGCCTGGAGACGCAGACTATGCATGCTGGCTGGAGAATCATGTGTGCCAGAAAAACACCGACTCTAAATCAGGGAGAATGGAGGTTGAGACAGCTATCATCCTCTTTTCACGCTCACTGTCGAAGCACAACCTCCGTTACACAACACTCGTGTCTGATGGAGATAGGGCCACCTTCTCTGCCCTTGTACAAGAAAATGTTTATGGACTGGTCCCCATTTCAAAAGAGGAATGCCTGAACCACGTTCACAAGAGGATGGGGACTGCACTTCGCAACCTTGTGCAGAAAAGTGACAAGGATTTGGGAGGGAAGGGCAGGCTGACAAAGGCCCTCATCGACAAGTTGACAGATTACTATGGCTGGGCCCTACGGAACAATTCCGATGATGTGGCTGCAATGCGGCGGGCAGTGATGGCATCGTACCACCATGTGACGTCGACGGATGAGGAGCCGCACCACGACTTGTGCCCAGAGGGTGCAGACTCCTGGTGTCGTCACAATGCCAGCAAGGTTACCGGTGTTCCAACTCCGAAGCATTCGTACAAGCTGCCACGCTATGTTGCAGATGCACTTCTACCCATTTATGAGAGGCTCTCACAGGCTTCTCTTCTGCAACGCTGCCTGGGAGCAAAGACGCAGAATGCATCAGAGTCCTTTCACTCTGTGCTGTGGTCCCTCATGCCCAAAGAGCAGCATGCGTCACTGATTGCTGTGGAGACAGCACTGCATGATGCAGTGCTAAGATACAATGCTGGCTGCTACAGGGCCACCCAAGAGCTAGCTTCATCAGTGGGGCTAACACCTGGCCACCTGGCCATTCAACGGGCAGCCGAGAAAGATTCTCTGCGCTTGAAAAAGGCTAAGAAGCGATCCCTAGAGAAGATGGAAAGGGGGCAAAGAAAGAGAGTGCCAAAGGACACCTCCAGTTACGCTGCAGGTTCATTTTAGAACTGCCTATGTGCTCAAAACTTTCAAACGTCGTTTTTTCAAAATGACTTTTTTGGCTAGTGAGGCTGCTTATTCCAGCCATATCTCTGGAACCACTCATTAGATTTCCATAAGTCTTTTTTTATTATGTACATGAATAAATTTCTGAGGGGGTGACAAGCCCATTTTTTCAATATATTGTGTGTGTTATTTATTATACTTAACCAAAATTTCATTGATAATATCCTAATCACGAACACAAAGTTGGATGGTCTGCTAAAACTTTTCAGCAAGGAAATTCAAAAAAAGGGCTCTGTTACCCCCTGGAGTATCAATCTGGGAATTATCATAGTTAATTTCACAGTTCCAGCACCTTTTGAAAGTTCTCCAGGCCTGGAATAAGAGAACCATGTGCACTACCCTGATATTCTGCTGTAACTTGAAAACCAGTGAACATAACTTGATGAAATTTTGTAGTTCTTCTAATGCTTTTGCTATAAGTCTATCCTGAAAATTTCATTAAGATATCTCAATAAACAAAAAAGTTGGTATCCAATGGTAGCCTCCCCCCTTAACCATTTTACATTTTTATGGTGTTTTTATCTCTAAAGTTTATTTTTTTCATGTTTATATCAAATATTTTGCTTTGAAGAAGCATGTTCTGATTGTCAAAAAAAGCAGAAGTATATGTTAAGTCAAATTTAACGAAGTTTATTGTCTCATTGTTTACTAATGTCTGTCACAGTTTGCAAAATATTCTCATTTTCAACGAACAGGCTGATCTGATGTGTCAAGTAATCAAAGTGAACTTCGGTCTCTCAATAATTATCGCCTGAAGAGTCGTGCAATGAGGAAAGACGTCTTTTGCGTGACGATGAACCAGCGATGTGTTGTCTTCACTGGACAACATTTTCTACGCATTAGCCGCAAAAGAATGTGAAATTGCTGTTCAAATAGAAGATCTTGCTCAGCAAGTGCTGTCATTTGGGAAGCAACGCAAGGCTTAGAAACAAGTGAGTCTCGTTGAGAACACTCACGATGAGATGTTATCTCAAGTTGATAAGCCACCCTTGTACTAAGCTGTTTGGACACATTTTCGCAAGGACAAGCTCGGCTCCTCCAAAACGATTCAGGAGTGAAGGTATCAAAATCGTCACGTCCTCTAGTTCACAGAGTGGTTGCTAAATGCGACAGTATGTGAAAAAGGCATTAAATTTATTACTTTCCCCAAGTTCCTGCTTAAATTGAAGGTTGTATCTATGAATTTCACTATCTAATCTTTCAGTTTGAAAGAAAATCTCAACAGTAAAGAGCTTGTTCGTGATGACATATGGGGCTTTATGGTGCAAGGGCCAGTGATGATCACTCAAGAGTGCCAGGCTTGTTCAGTAGTCTCTGAATTCTGTCCATTGTGTGTAAAAAAAACTAAGTGTTTTTCATAGGTTCCTCTGGGTCCCTTTTCTCTGAAGTAACAACTGCACGTAATATTTTATGTAATACATGAATGTATAGCTATATAGATGAACATTTAATGCGTACAAATTGCAATGACAAGATATATGTTGTGCAAACAATTTAAATTGTCAGTGTCAAGATTGCAGTACAAACTGAACATAGTAGGTAAGGATGTGCGTCTGTCTACCAAGGAAAATTCGGCAGATCTCACGTAGCTTGCCCACATTATGCAAAGCATGTAGGAGGAAGGTGACCTTGTCATAATTTTGCAATTGAGCGACTTGTCATGAAATGGTGCTAAATACATGTGCAGATGTTGCACACATAGACATACGTTGAACAGTTGTAGATGCTTACGTTACCAATTGTTTGCACATTGGTGCCAACAGGAACATGAGTATTAGCAACACCAGAAAGAATGAGCTGATGTCTAGCGCAGATGCTCGAGAAGATGGTAGCCCCTAGACACTGCTACATAAATCAACTTTAGCGAATGTCACCTAACTACAATTCTACAATTGACGTTAGCTTGACGAGACAGCTGTATGATAGGAGTATATATGTAATATTTATGAAATTGAAAAGCGAGCACTGTAACCACAGTTGACGTTTCACAAACATTTCGGTCTCTTTGAAAAGTAGTTCCGAGATCTGGCGTGGCTCTCTGGCAGAATAATTCATTGCCACGCAAAATGCTTGGGTGCGATTCCTGCGGGACCATGATATTTATTGTCTGCGTTCCTAGGGTCAACACTGCTGATGTCAGCCTTTTCTTAATGCTGACATGTTAAAATTATCCATGTATGTTCTCGCCGTTCCTGGGTAGACACTAAGTTTCAATCACCTGAGGCACGTACTCGCATACCAGTGGCACATACCTGCCGGCGGGTACATGCCACAGTTCAAAGGGAAGTGTTTGACGACATACGTGACAGGATTTTGAGAAAATTCAAGTCTTGAGTAGCATGTCATATTCATCAAATCATCATACCCGCCAATTCTAATTTTTGTTGACGTCAAGGTCAAGCGGCTAGATAGATAGACAGGCAGACAGACAGACAGACAGACAGACAGACAGACAGACAGATAAACAGATAGATAGACAGATAGATAGATGACAAAAGTGCCTCCTATATGAAAAGAAAGGATTCTCATTTAAAAATATAGCAGAAATTAAAAGATGTACTGGTGCCCTGCCCTGCGTCTGGGGGCTCACGTGACTGCCTGTTTAAGTTAGGGTCAACAAAATTAATATGGGAGTGTAAAAGGCTTTGTCCATTATAACTGTCTGGCCGAAACATGAATAATGTGAAAATACCACTGCATACGACATCAAACCCTTTCCTCCAGGCACATGTGACACATACCCGTATATCACGGGCTGCGGTGTGTGTGGTTATGTGCCACAGGTGTTCGACAGTATATATATACCAAGAAACGGCGAGAGCAGACACTGGTAGTTTAAATGCGAGAGCCTTAAGAAAAACTGACATCGGCAGCATTGACCTGATGAATGCAAGGAATGAATGTCATGGCCCCAGCAGGAATCGAAACCAGGCATTCCGTGTAACAATTAAGTTTTCTACCACAGAGCTAGGCCAGGTCTTAGAACTGCTTCGGGAAAGACCCAGTGCAGGCATAATGTTGCTAAAATGCGAATTGAAGTTGCAGCGCTGCCAATCCAACTCTATAAACATTACATTACGAAAATGGTAGAGGCAGTATTGAGTTAACGTCGATTGTAGTTAAGAGCCATTCACTAAAGTTGTTCTATGCAGCACTATCCACGGCTAAATAAAAGTTTATCCAATAAATAAAAGTTTATCCAATAAATAAAAGTTTATCCAATCCAATATCCACGGCTACCACTCTCGCAAGCATGAGCACTGCATTTCAGCTTACTGTTGCTGGCATTTCGTAATGCCCATGTTGCTCCTGCCATCGTTACGCAAGTGGTAACTGGTCATATAAAACATATGTGCCTTTTCAACATATGTCTGTGCGTATAACTTTGGTACATATGATTAGCCTCTGACGAAGGCCGTGCCACGGCCGAAACGTACGGCCATGAAGGAATTGCTTGCTTTCTCGTAAGTGTACCAATCTCTTTTTCTCGTAAGTGTACCAGTCTCTCTCTCTCTATATATATATATAGAGAGAGAGAGGGAGAGAGGAAGAGAAGAGACACAACTAAGCGGTTGTCTTAATTTTATTTCCAATGGTTTCGACCGGTGGGCCGGTCTTTGTCGGAGTAAACCTCAGGGTAAACTCTGACGAAGACTGGACCACCACTCGAAAACGCTGGAAATAAAATTCAGACAACCGCTAAATTGTGTCTCTTCTCTTCCCAAGTACGTTTCGTTCATCGCAAAAACTTCACACACTCACACACACACAAACACACACACACAAACACACACACACACATTCTTATAAAATGAGTAAGAAGTTACATCCTTGATCCAAGTGTTTCTTTGGTTTTGTGCAGGATACTTCCACTTCAAGTGGATCCAGTTCGCAAAGCAAGGATCTCTTGCAGAAAGTCGAGACTCTAGAGCACGAGAACAGCGAGCTGAAAAAGCTACTGCTTGAGCAAAACAAGCTTACCAGTGAGTGTTTCGCCGCTTGTAACCCGCTTGTAAAGTGCGATACCTCAGAGGTTTTTACTGGAGCGAATATTCCGAGACTCGTATGCTGTAGTTCCGATTTTGCTTTTAATTATCCCAAGGCTCTGCACGTAGACTACCACCCGAATGGGCATGCAAAAAGTCATCAAAACTGTTTCAGGACCCCTTTGAAATGTGGGGCTGCCTCAAAAGGTAGGTGATCATTTCGCTGTACTCTGAACAGTTTTATTGCACTGCTGGCCTAATAAGCTGTGAAGAGGTTTATTAGCCGTTAAAGACAGCGATGAGACAGCGTGAAGGACCGTCCATCGATCGGCACAGCAACGAACGAAGCACGAGCCGGGCGTTGGCGATGCTGCTTGCTGCAGGCACATCTTCTTCTTCACAATCGCCCCCGCTGAAAAAGGAGCCATCCTGGCGACCTAAGAAGTTTCAGGGAGAGGCTCATGATACGGTTTTAGGCGGGAAACATGGACGATGTCACGTGCACGCTGGCGCATGTCATCCGATCGGGAAACTGGCTCAATTAGGTAATTAACCGGAGAAGTTTTCTCTAAAACTATGTAAGGCTTCTTGTACCTGGAGACAAGTTTTGATGAGAGTCCCGGAGTTCGGTATGGGATGGCAAGCCACACGAGAGACCCTAGGGCATAGCTGGGATCCGGAAGAGAAGTGCAACGGTTTTCTTTCTGGCGTTGCTGCTCGTCCGAGGTGAACGCACGGGCGAGCTGGCGGCACTCTTCGGCTTGTCGAGATAGGTGATAGGAGATAGGTGGACATTCAGAAGCATCAGGACGGTAGAGAAGTAGAGTATCAATTGTATGGGAAGGGTCACGTTCATAAAGAAGAAAGAAAGGTGAAAATCCCGTGGTTTTTTGTACTGCAGTAGTATAGGCGAATGTGACGTATGGGAGAACACGGTCCCAGTTGCTATGATTAGATGCCACGTACATTGAGAGCATATCACCCAGCGTGCGGTTAAACCGTTCCGTTAGCCCATTAGTCTGCGGGTGGTATGCTGTCGTTTTCCGATGAATGACGTGGCACTCCAAAAGCAGAGCTTCGACGACCTCAGAGAGGAAAGCGCGGCCTCTGTCACTAAAGAGCTCTCGAGGTGCGCCATGTCGAAGGATAAAGCGACGTAAAATGAAAGAGGCGACATCCTGAGCGGTAGCACTCGGTAAAGCGGCTGTTTTGGCGTAGCGTGTTAGATGGTCGACCGTCACTATAATCCACGGATTGCCATCTGGTGTCAATGGAAGGGGGCCGTAGAGGTCAACGCCAACGTGATCAAATGGCTTGGCAAAACACGGAAATGGCTGCAATTCGCCAGTCGCACATAGCGGTGTTGATTTGCGTTGCTGACAGTCAGGACAGCACTGCACAAATTTGCGTACAAAATTGTACATGCCGCGCCAGTAATAGCGATGGTGAAGGCGTTCATATGTTTTGAACACCTCTGCGTGGCCACATTGTGGATCGTCGTGAAGAGAGGCGCATACCTGTGATCGTAAAGTGCGTGGAATGACCAGTAGCCACCTGGCGGCCATCAGGAGCATAGTTGCGTCGATGAAGAAGTTGATCGCGGATGGCAAAATGGAAAGCTTGACGTCGGAGGGATCGAGATACCGGAAGGTTGGGGGTACCGGATAGATATTCGAGAAGAGATGCGATCCACGGGTCACGACGTTGTTCCGTGGCAATTGAGTCAAGATTTAACGATGACAAGGTCTGGAGGCACGTGTTTCCGCACGTCGGATCTGGTGGCAAAGGTGAGCGGGTTAGGGCATCAGCGTCGGAGTGTTTGCGTCCGCAGCGGTATACGACGCGAATGTCGTACTCCTGGATGCGGAGTGCCCATCGCACAAGGCGGCCAGAAGGGTCTTTCAGCGTGGAGAGCCAGCAAAGCGCGTGGTGATCAGTTACTAGATCGAACGGGCGGCCGTATAAGTACGGCCGGAACTTTCCAAGCTCCCACACCAGAGCCAAACACTCTTTTTCTGTCACGCCGTAATTAGTTTCGACTTTCGTCCGAGTGCGACTAGCATAGGCTACAAAGTATTCTGAATAGCCGGGTTTTCGTTGAGCAAGGACAGCGCCTAGCCCGACGCCGCTGGCGTCGGTGTGCACTTCTGTAGGAGCCGTCGCGTCGAAGTGGCGAAGAATAGGTGGGGAAGTGAGCAGACGGCGCAGAGTAGTGAAGGCAACGTCACATGCAGGAGACCAGGAGGAAAGGTTCACGTCACCGCAAAGAAGCTGGGTTAATGGTGACATGATGGATGCAACATTGCGAACAAAGCGCCGGAAATTAGAGCATAGGCCTACAGAACTCTGAAGTTCTTTTATGGTCGTCGGCTTGGGAAATTCTGCGACAATCCCGGCTGCGGCGGCTGCATTTCCGATGGAGGCGGAAATGTCGAGGCCCGTGTGCTCAGATTTGGGTGCACGTTAAAGAACCCCAGGTGGTCAAAATTTCCGGAGCCCTCCACTACGGCGTCTCTCATAATCATATGGTGGTTTTGGGACGTTAAACCAAAAAAAAAAAAAAAAAAAAAGAAATTCTGCGACTGCTCGAAGTTTTGCTGGGTCAGGTAATACGCCGTGCTTCGACACGATGTGGCCTAGGATGACGAGCTCGCGTGCAGCGAAGCGGCATTTTTTCAGGTTAAGCTGCAGGCCAGCGTTGGTCAGACAAGTTAAAACGTGCCTGAGGCGAAGGAGGTGTGTAGGAAAGTGGTGCGAGAATACCACGACATCGTCGAGGTAGTAGAGGCACAGATTCGACTTGAGGCCATGTAGCGTATTATCCTTAAGTCGTTCAAACGTGGCGGGTGCGTTACAAAGCCCAAAGGGCATGACGTTAAACTTCTATAGTCCGTCAGGTGTAATAAATGCAGTTTTTTGGCGATCGGCTTCAGCCATTGGAACTTGCCAGTAGCCAGACCGCAAATCTAGCGACGAGAACAAGTCCGCTCCGTGAAGGGTGTCAATGGCGTCATCAATGCGCGGCAAAGGATATACATCCTTGCGGGTTATCCTATTCAAACGAGGATAGTGCACCCAAAATCGGATAGATTCGTCTTTCTTACGCACCAGGACGACAGCAGACGCCCAGGGACTCTGAGATGGTCGAATGACGTCTCTACGAAGCATATCTTCGACTTGATCGTTGATGACGCGGCGCTCTTCAGTGGAGACATGGTATGGTCTTTGACGCAGTGGCTGGTGTAGGCCGGTGTCAACATGATGCTTGACTTGCGACGTGTGGCCTAGTTGAGGGGTCGACACATCGAAAGAATTCCGGAACTCATGCAGAGGATCAAGCAGGTCGGCATGTTCGGTGGGAGTGAGGGTGTCGGCGATGGCGCTGGAAAACGTATCCTCGGACGACTCCTCGAGGGCCGACAGTGATTTTGAGTGGTCGCGGTAGTCATCCGGGACATCAACCAAAGACGAGGTGTCGAGATCCTGCACGCGGCCGAGACATTCCCCTGCAAGCAAAGTGACAGGTGTGGAAAGCGGGTTGAGTATGAACATATTGCTTCTTCCGGCGGCAAGGTCAATCGTTGCGAAAGGCAGCGGCAGAGCTCGACGACTCGTGAAGATATCGGAAGGCATAAAAAAGACTGTAGCATCAGTATAGGCGTGGCATGAAACTGGAACAAGTGCGAAATTTTCAGGTGGATTATAGATATTGTGACAGGGCGAGATCTAGGCTTACAGGATAGCGTCCACAGAGAATCGGCAGCCGAACAAGACGGCTGAGTTGCCTCTCACGCAAGCGCCTAACGCACAAGCGTCTTCTTCATCTTCACAAAGTGTCACGCTTGCTCCTGTTGATGATGCTCCGTAACATCACTCCTCTGCGGCGGAAGCGCCATCACGGCGCTCAGTACGGCGGCGACGAACGAGCAGGGTGATACAGTTTGAGTCTGGAAACGTGCACAACGTCCGTCTGGAGTGAGGGGGTCGAAGAGGCATTGTTTAGGGGTGTGATCTCGTAGCTCTCGTCACTAAGTTGTCGTAACACTTTGTAGGGGCCATGGTAGTGCGATAGTAGCTTCTCTGATAAGCCGACTTGGCGGTTTGGTATCCAGAGAAGTACCAGAGACCCCTGCGAGAAGTGCACGCTTTGGTGGCGACTGTCATAGCGGTCTTTTTGGTGCGCTTGCGACAAGTGCAGCCGATCACGGGCAAGCTGACGGGCTGCATGGGCTGGAGAAACGACATCCCTGGCGTACTCAGTAGACAAGGGGGCAGCCGAAGGAAGGACCGTGTCAAATGGTAATGCTGGATGTCGGCCAAATAGCAAATAAAACGGCGAATAACTAGCTGTGTCGTGCCGTGAAGAACTGTACGCGAACGTGACAAAGGGGAGTGCTTTGTCCCAGTCACGGTGATCTGGCGAAACGTACATTGGCAGCATTTGCGTCAGCATTCGGTTCAGACGCTCGGTCAATCCATTTGTCTGTGGATGATAAGTGGTGGTAAGCTTATGAGCAGGCGTGGAGAATGTCATCCACAACACATGAAAGGAAGTACCTTCCTCGATCAGTAAGCAGCTGCCGCGAAGCGCCGTGATGAAGAATGACTTCATACAAGAGAAAGTCAGCGACGTCAGTGGAACAGCTTGTCGGCAGTGCTTTAGTGATAGCAAAGCATGTGGTGTAGTCTGTGGCGACTGCAACCCATTTATTTCCGGAGGTGGACGTAGGCAACGGGCCCAACAGGTCAAGGCCAACACGGAAGAATGGTTCCGTCGGTATGTCAATGGGCTGTAGGAGGCCAGTTGGCAGCGGTCGCAAGCAGTGACGTAGCGAACCACAGAACGATACAATCCGGGCCAGAAAAAGCGACGTTGCACACGATTGTCGGAACGAAAGACGCCTAGGTGACCGGCTGTAGGTACGTCATGTGATTAGTCGAGAACGCTGGTACGCAGGTGATGGGGAAGCACGAGTAGTAATTCCGGGCCATCAGCA